AGGAAAAGTTAGGATGTGTGGAGACAGTCATTGCCCTTATGCCACACGTGAGCTGCACGCTCTAAAGTAGAAAAAAAAAAAAGTAGAACTGTTCCCTGGAGCTTTCTTCCTGGGTCTCCAGTTCTCCTTTTCTGCAGTAGGAGGAAGCCCTTTCCCAACTTCTTTTCTCTTACGTTCTGCTCAAGAAGTAGAGGGGTAGAAGCATGCTTTCTCACAGGGCAGGGAGAACTGTGCTGAGGGAAGATGGGAAGGACTGGTGGATCCTGACAGGGAGAATGGAAGGTTCTGTCTCCTCAGGGAGGTGGAGAAGATGGATGGCAGCTCCTCTGTGGGAAAAGGAGGCCAGGGAAGAAGAAAAATAAATTCCTCTCCATAGACTCCTGCTTTCTTCCCCAGTGCGTGGAGGATTACTGAACCCTCCTGCCTTTCTCCTACTGACTCCTCCTTGGAGATATCTGGCTTTCCTTCCCAAGTACCTCCGAAACTCCTATTTTGCCTTTACTGTCAAGTTCTGCCAGATCTGTTTCACCTCACTAACAGTGAGGCTGAGAATGAAGATAACACTCGGGGATACTTTTGGTCAGAAACCAGGAGACTGAGCATTGTCAATAAAAGCAGAGATCTCAGCTGCGAAAGGGAATCCTAACAAAGCCCCGACACCATCATGTGCCGGTATAACTGCATCATCCTGAAGCATGGATTCATCAGATCTGGACTTGGCTAGTTGTAGTACAGGAACCTTCTAATTAAAATCCAAGAGACGGTTAGCGTAGTAAACAATTTAATGAGTAGGTGGCACTCTTCACTCTGAACCACTCTTGAACCATGACCCTGAAAATGTGGAAGTGGTACGCAGTAAAGTAAGTGGGGCACATTCATCAGCAGTGCGCTGTGTGGAACTGCATCTCTGTTGAGAAACGTGTTCCACTTGGACACACATTTCTCCTGAAGCTCAGTAAATCTGGCACCTTTGTAAGTGAACGCAGCTCATGCTGTCATCCCACTCACTTGCAAGAGACGAGCGCCTGGACTGGGTCAAACTCTGCATAGTTTCTTCACCATAAGCAGAGGAGTGGAGACAAACAATTCTTCTGTCTTCACAGATCAGATGAATAATTAAGATGATCTCTCTTAATGCACTGTGTTCTTATTAAAACACCTGAACTGAATCTTCTTCCATTTTAATGAGTTCCTTCAATTTCTGCAACACGGTGTATATATTTTAAATAAGCATAAAATAACAAATGTGTTCCCTGTTGCTTGGTCTCATTCCACAGCTCGCTACTGTATCTTTCCCACAGTCCATATTTTACCTAATTCTTTATGAAATCCTATCCAGAGAGACATAGGGCCTGATTCTGGTAAAGACAGAGCCTGAGAAGTCGCCTTGGGTTTTCTTGATGGAGAGACAGAGTCACTGGCATTCCATCTCTCCTCCGGCTCTGCCTTCCCCATGCCCGCAGTGAGCAGCACATAAATGTTACACAAAGCCATTCCTTTGCCGCTACTTGTTCTTGTGTCAAGAGAGAGAAAAGAAGCCCAGGGACCGAGAGCTGAATACATGTTCATTTATACAGAAGGCAAAAAGTGACAAGCAAATGCATGGCTAGACCTCTACAGATGTGAGGGAGGAATATTTTAGTAAATATTCTTACTTATTCCTGGTATCCCTTTATTATCTTTAGTAAAAAGATTAGATGTATCCCTGACTATATCCCTTTACCCCTAGGATGTAAAGCCTGCATTTACATTAGTTGCACTGGTAACACTGCAGAAAATTCAAGACCTGCTCACAATGGATTTACAAGTGGTGGCTGTGATTTTGGGTGGTTTAAAAAGTATAAAAGTAATCACACATTATTAGGGAAATACTATGCCAAAAACGATGCAGAAACAGATTTACTTCAGAATATGAAGGGCTCCTTTGATAAAGAAAATACTAATGCTAATGTAAGATTAGAATACAAGGTTCCTGTTCTGAAACAAAACCTGATAAGAGGCAGCGCTAAAAGCAAAGCCAACAAAGTAATAACACAGCCTACTCAATGCTGAACGAACTCAAATGCATCATTGTTCTGTTCAGCTCTTCCAAAACTTCTTCTAACATAATCTCCATAAATAATGTTTGCTTCATTTCCCAGAAAAGCAAACTGATCCTCCAGAATATTATTCCCATGTGCAAAATTCAGTTTGAATAGCTTTTACTGGGAAGATAGGATAGCGTGTGCCGATCAGTGTAACACTCCGACTCACAAGAACATACAGAAAACTGCAAACAGAAGAGCTAGATAAAAAAAAAAACAAAACAAGAAATAAAAACATTCCAGATATGAATGTTCAGTGTGTGGGTTTTGTTGTCAGCTAAATATCTGGAGAGCAGTTTTTCCTGTAAATCGAGGGAAGAGTCACATCTGACACTAGTCCTATCGGGGAAAACCATCTCAGCCAAGGCAGGCAGGATTCACTGCTTAACCACAGCAATGTCAGGTCTATTGCATACTCAAAATCAATGAGCACACTTTTAGAACAGACATGTACTTGCACAAAAAGATCAAATAATTATCATTTGAGAGGATGTCAGACCCAAACCCCTCACTGTTCCTGATCACACTCAAATCTATCACCTTGATCCACTCTGTGAAATGTGGATATCCTTTATAAACAATCCCTAGCTGAAAGTAATTAACAACATCTTAACTAGGAGCTACGCCCAAGAAAGGCACTTGCAAGTACTCCTGCATTTCCTGGCTCTTCAGTTGTTGTTAGGCTGGGGAAGAAATGCTTTCTACAAACACAGGTACGTAATTACTATTTAAACACAATTTTCTGAACTGAAATTTTGCTAGTGAGAAGTCCTCTTCTCTACTTTAAAGAATCATCAAGTTAAATATATAAACGTATTTAGAGGTTGTTGATAGAGTACTAAGATTAAGCACAAAAGATAACAATAGATCAGGAGATCACTTCAACTGGACTTTTAAGAGTCTGCTGTGCTAAGCCTACAGTTCCAAGAGCGTGACTCTGCACTGGCCTGGCTGCTGCACAGTCAGGGCCTCGTCCAACATCCCTAGTCTGTGGGATTCAGCTCCTCCCTACAGCTGTATGCACTGTATCCACCTACATTTATTCATGGTTTGGTGCACGAGCATCTCGTTTGACCACGGAGGTTGAATGGCCATACAATACCCAAAGCATACACAAAAGAAATGCCCAGAGCTACGGGTGTCCCCAGGGCATGGAGATGTGCTGCTTAGGGACAGGATGCTCTCAGGCCAGCTAAGAAAATGCATCTTCGGTGTGTAGTAAGAGTTAGCGTTGAGGATGTACACTATGCCAAGGTGACCAGGTAGATGACTTTGAATATACACTGATAGAAATACACCCAGTGTCAGTGCAGGGAATGCAGGTTTGCAGCTACTCAGAACACCATTCATTTATTACTTCATAATGTAAAAAAAACCCAAACAACAACCAACCAACCAAACGAAAAAACCCAGAGAAAATTAGACCATTATTTATTGATGTGAATAGAAAGTCTGAGCTTTGGCAGCTGCCCTTCCTCCTACGCAGAAAGCGTGACGGAGGAAAAACCGTACGAGTGGAGTTTGTTCAGAGGTCGTTAAGTTGAACTCCCCCTTTAGACAACTGCTGCTCCAATACGAAGAGGATGCTGGAAAAAACATCCCAGAGATGATGTGACTGCAAATGGCTCTTTGGAGCTCAGGCTGCAGATGATGCCAAGTGGTTACTGGGCATAGTTGAGTATCAATCAGTCCGCTACACTTCCTTGCATCATGGTCCTATCTATAAAAGCAGATAGTTTATCCAGTGAGATCCACAGTCCTTCATAACCATCTGTGGGGAATCTGCAGGTGTTAAATTAGCTGCAGGAGGATGCCCATATGTTTCCTGCATGCAATAGACACATATTGTGAATTATAACAAACGAAACGAAAAAGCCATTGCAAATTGCACGCAGTTAAGATTAAAGGGCTAAAGCCAAAATCTTTAAGTAAAATCACACACAGATCAGATGTAATTTACTGTGATTTGCTGCTTCGGATTCAAACACAGAGAAGAAGAAATACAGTCTTCATTTCCTCATGTAGTTTTTCAGGCTTATGCTCTTGTATGGTGAGACAGTCCCCATGCTGAGCAGTCTCAGACTGCTGGTAATGGGACTTGCGGCAGCTCAGCACTTGACAGGATTAGGCCTTTGCAGTCATTTCATACAATATTCTTTTCCAACCAGTCAATTTACTTATGATTTATATCATTTTATTGTACATGTCAGAGTCAGCAATTGCCCCACAGCTACTTATGGGAGTTATTCATTATTCCTGTATAGAAAGAGCCAAAAAGCAACAAGAACCTTTCCTGTCTTGGCCTGAAGGATGAAGGTAGTTAGAGAATTTTCTTAATAGATCTTACCTGTCTCTTCGATGTAAAGCAGATGAAAAATGGGTAAAAACTAACAAGGACTGAGTTTCTAGGATAGGCACAAGGAAAAGACCTTTGCTAGTGAGAAGTCCCTTTCTGTACTTTTAAGAATCATCAGGTTAAATATATAAACATATGTAGAGGGTGTTGATACAGTACTAAGATTAAATACACATATGCATGCTTATTTTTCACTCATAGGCACAGACTAACTATCTCAGTAGTTCTTTTTGGAATCCTGAGTTCAGATCTGTAAATATGTCTGGGAAAGCTGCCATTTTTACATTGTTTACAATCTAAAATACATTAATCTAGTTTTTAAGAGTATAAATCAAGATTAAGGAAATATCTACAGTAGAGATTTGTGTCAGGTGTTTCAGGTGAATATTCCTTCAAGAGCCCTCCCAAATGCTATACCTGGGCATAAAAAAGACCCTCAAGGCTTGACAAAATATTGCAGCTTTCTCTGTGTGAGGTGGAGTTCATACTTCTCCCCCAATCCTTAACAAAAGAACACAACACCCAAGCTATTACACACGAGCATTTTTCTCTGTGCACAGAAAAAATGTAATTGACCCGGAGGATCCAAGGTGCGCCAGGCTGACTCTCACGGGACAGATGGTCACGGTGCCTCCGGAGGAAGTGGAATTTGCCAAGCAAGCAATCTTTTCCAGGTCTGTATGTAACAGGCAAGAGTAGTAGAGTGCAACCCGCAGGTTTGAGACAAATATATGCATGTGGCTGTTTGGTACGGAAAATCTGACAAGCAATAAGCCTGATCTTTACTTTGGGGCCACGAAATATGTTGGCTCATGTGCGGCTTGGAACAACAGGCAGAGCTGTGCAACCTTTTAACTCTTGAGGTAATGAAATATGGAAATGCAATTAATGTTGGACTCCGGTAAAGCACGTGGTTTATAAACTGGGGATTATGAAAATATTTCACCTGGCTGCAAGGAGACTTTCATAAATCCAGGATGTATTTGTTACCTTTAATAATTCTCCCCCACCTTAGGATAGGTAGTGCTCTTCAGCCACAGTCCCCTACTCAGAGACAGAGCAGAGTTCTGCTGCCTTTGGGCTTACATCTAATTACAGGGTGGAGTTTACAGGGTTTTATTACCTCTCCTGCTGACTGCTACCAAAGCCATAACACTTACCAAACAGCTTCCTTTGAACAGATGAGAGCACAACCCAGACACATGCACACACACCCAGGGCGTGCCCCCATGCCCTCCAGTGGGTCTTCAGAATAACAGGCGTGAAAAGCCAGAGCCTGAGTTGGAGCACACGCCTCCCACACAGGCTGCCAGGGATGGTCCTCCAGGCACACCCTGCGTGGTCAAATACCTCCAGGAGACTGGGATGAAATGGGATCCCAAACAGACCAGAGGCGATATTCTCACTTGCCAGCTGGAAGGGGTTAGGATGAGACCCTGTCAGCGGGTGTCCTACCAGTTGTAAAAATGAGACCAGGGATAGATGGGAGCTATATTGACACACAAGCCTTTTTACAAGCTTTGCAGAAATCAGATTCCTACACGAGACAGAGTCCACCTCAGCAGCATCTGTTCTGTTATCAGGGAGCAAAAAAAACAGACTGCATGGTGAGGGCTGCTGGGCATCCAGCACCGGCAGCAGCAGGAGCCACTTCCCAAAGCCACAGTCGTGGGTGCTCCAAGGGACAGCTCAGAAAAGGATGGGAAACCTCAGCTCAATCCAGAGGTTGCCAAAACAACGATCCCCTCTGCAGTGTCCTCAGTGGTGTATCTGCACCGAGTACCCCGCAGCATTCCCTGCAGAGGCACCCGCAGGAGCTTGGGGACCAGATGTCTCTACCCAGTGTTGCCGGCAGGGAGGGTCTCTTTGAGCTAGCTGTACAGGCAGGCCCAAGAAATGAGACAGAAATACTGGACAAGAAGGCTCTAACAGGCAAGAGCTGGCAGAGGCTTTGCTCTGCCTGCTAGCCAGTTTCATTAGCTCTCCTGCCGTGTCACAACAACTGCTACCAAAGATGCAGTATTTTCAGAACACCACTTCCTTCAAACAGATACAAGCACAACCCTGACACACCTTAGGAGAATCTCCTCCAGCCATTTTTCCCTTACTTATAGACCAAACAACATCTGTTTTTAGAGATGGGGTTCTGCAGCGGAGGAAGGTGGTGTTCGCTGGCTGCCTTCGCTGCAATTCTCGCCAGCCTGGGGTGTGGAAGATCATAAACCTTACTGGAAGGGAGGGCAAAAAATAGATGAATGGTGGTGGTTCTCAGATCTCAGGTTTCACTCTGACTGAGCACACCAGGCTGAAGAAGAAAGGAGACCATGCATATGCTTTGGCACATCTTGTAATTTTTTTTTTCTTTTCTTTTCTTTGTCCTTCCAGGCACCCGGTGGTAAGAAAATGGCCCCGTAGCTATGAATGGTTCTTCATGAAAATGAACATTGAGCACGTCTGGTTTCAAAGCTGGTATGGAGAAGCTTCTGCCATTGTAGTAGAAGAATATTTAAAAGCAGTTCCAAGTAAAGGATGACTGAACGGGCTTTGAGGTAGAGATCTGAGTTTCCTTTCCAAACACTTTTAAAATTTCATGCTGGATGGTTACTTTACAGGGATTTTTTTTTTTTTCTCCCCAAAAGGCTTCAAAATAGCCCTCTCTCACACGGAGCAGAGTGAAAATAAACCAACACAGACTTCAAAATTATAAAGAAGAGGTGGATACTAGCCCTACCCTGCAATGTACAAACTTGTCATTTCAAACAGGCAATGCATCATCTTAAATGCTGCTTAAAAATGCTTTGTATCTGTTTGTTTTGACTTCTATTGCTGTGCACCCACAGAGAAACTACCATATGTGTTAAATATAATGTTCTGATGTACAGAAAAAGCAAATTGGCTACTCAGAACCCTCTATGCATTGTGGAGGTATTACTGCTGCTTGGTCTCCCTTGATTTGTAAGTACCCAAGAGAAATTTAATAGCTGTAAATTTAGATATTTAAAATTTTTTAAAAATTTGCTAAAGCTATCCTCATTTGCTAACTTATATTTTCTATAGGTGCTTTTCCTAATTAGATAATTTGATATTTCACTTGGAAATTCAGTACAACTTCTCTCTATGAGTAGAAAAAAATGCAAGCAGCTCAAACAACACAGCTCCAATATAACTTGTCTCTCACCGACACAAAGCTGGTTAAACACGTTAAGGACTAAAACCAAATCAGCCCCACAAGGATTATCCTAATACAAGTATAAACATTCTCATAAAAAGAATTTAAGTAAATGTTCTCAGCCAGACTGTTCCTGTTATGAGACAGAAGTATTTTTAATAGCCTGTAGTCCCAATTTTTTGCATCCCTTCTCCAGCCACCACTTTAACTCATTGATACAACTGATTTTTCTAAGTTGGCACTAACTCATCTAGGCGTGTAGCCAATTCCTTAAATCTGTCACCTCACCAAGTTTTAGAGGGCTTGCTCATGCATTTATGTTTTAAAGAAGCCTGAAGATAGGTAGACCTTTCAGGCTATGCAAAACTTATTTGCGTAGCCTGAAAAGTGTGAACTTTGTTGTGCACGCATTATGAATACGCACGTCATGTAATAATACCAAAACCAGTTCATAGGTCTTTTATTCAGCGCTTTCTCTAGATGTCCTGGTAAACTTTTTCTGCAGTTTCTAAAAGTATCACAGTAGGAAAGGTCCCATTGCTAATCAGCCAAGTCATTACACAGCTCGCAAATTGTACGGCTGTTCTTCCTGTTATGTTACAAAAGAGACACATTGAGATGGGGTTTCTCTGCCTGTGGGGAAGATCTTCCAGCATCCCTGGGAGGGCACCCGGGCTCGGACACCAGCCCACACCACAGCCGGGCTGAGGAGGAGCCTGGGTCCCTGGGTGAGTGACCTGAGCTTGTACATTTAAATCCTCAGGCAGAGCTCAGAGGCAACTGCCTGAGCTATGACCAGCTGGAAGCCAATTAAATGTAGCTGAGCTTATTTTGGTTCAGGCATGGAGAGAGGGAGTCATTCCCCGAGCGGAGCTGTGCACTGTGCTGGTTTAGCTATCAGGGGTCATTTAGCCCTTGGGTGAGCTCAAGGCTCCAGGCGTCACTACCGTTCCGGATGACCTGTAAGAATCAAAGACAAATGTTGGAGGAGAAAAACTTTGTTTAGACACTCACTAAGCATTTTATTTCTTTCTTGTCTCATTGCCAGAGACTCTGTTAGCAGTGCAGATCTTTTGCAGAGGTAATTATGCAAAAGGAGGAAGCATCCTGCCTGAATCTATCTCCTTTTTTTTTCCTTGGCAGATAAGCAGCATTTTCCCATTCACCACTGAGTCTTGCACTGTGTAGTACTGAAGCAAAGTGGCCCACCCTATGCAGATTTATAGAATACCATCAAGTGAAATCCTCCTTCATTGATATCATTTTGCCATGGAGACCTTTGTCTACTTTGAATTTGATACTTCATAGAATCATAGAATATATTGGGTTGGAAGGGACCTTTAAAGGACATCTAGTCCAACTCCCCTGCAGTGAGCAGGGACACCTTTAACTGGATCGTTACTCAGAGCCCCATCAAGCCTGACCTTGAATATCTCCAGAGATGAGGCCTCCACCACCTCCACAACCTGTTCCAGTGCTTCACCACCCTCACTGTAAAGAAATTCTTCCTAACATCTCATCTAAATCTACCCTGCTCTAGTTTAAAACCCTTGTCCTACCACCACATGCCTTTATAAAACGTCCCTCTCCGGCTTTCCTGTAGGCCCACTTCAGGTTCTGGAAGGCCACTATAAGGTCTCCCCAGAGTCTTCTCTTCTCCAAGCTGAACAACCCTAACTCTCTCAGCCTGTCCTAACAGGAGAGGTGCTTAATCTCTCTGGCCATTTTTGTGGCCTCCTCTGGATCTGCTCCAAGTCCATGTCCTTCTTGTGTTGAGCACTCCAGAGCTGGACACAGTACTCCAGGTGAGATCTCACCAGAGCAGAGCAGAGCGGCAGAATCACCTTCTTGACCTGCTGGCCACTCCTTTTTATGCAGCCCAGTATGTGATCACCCTTCTGGGCTGGGAGTGTGCATCGTTGGCTCATGTCCAGCTTTTTGTCATGCTATACATCAAGGCCTTTTCTGCAGAGCTGCTCTCTCTCACATCATCTTCCAGCCTGTACTGCTAATGTGGATTGCCCTGACCCAGGTGCAGTCACATGGGCCCACTTCTCCAGCTTGTCCAGGTCCCACTGGAGAACATCCCGTCCTTCTGGCACATTGACCGCACAACTCTGCTTGGTTTATGTTGCAAATTTGCTGAGGGTGCACTTGATCCCTCTGTCTATGTCATTGATGAAGATATTAAACAGCTCTGGTGCCAGCATGGACCCCTGAAGGACACCACTTGTCACCCATCTCCATCTGGATGTTGAGCTGTTGACCACAACTCTCTGGGTGCAACCATCCAACCAATTCCTCATCCACTGAACAGTCCACCCATCAAATCCGTTTTCTCCAACTTAGAAGGGTGTTGTGAGGGACTGACTCAAAGGCCTTGCAAAAGTCCAGGTAGATGACATCCATTGCTCTTCCCTTGTCCACTGATGTTGTCACTCCATAGTAGAAAGCCACTAGGTTGGTCAAGCAGGACTTGGCCTTGGTGAAGCCATGCTGGCTGTCTTGAATCCCCTTCCTGTCCTCCATATAACTTAGCAGAGCCTCTAGGAAGATCTGTTCTGTGATCTTCCCAGGCACAGAGGTGAGGCTGATACTTTGCCCATTAGGATTAATGTGACTTTTAAAACTTAGTTCAACAGGCAGACTACTAGATCCTGTAAGGGAATCTCCACGGGTGTAACATTTCTGTGCATTGTCGATAATGTTTCCTTATCCCAGTTCACTATTATTTCCACAGAACCCTGAACTGCCTATTCTCTCCCCTGCCTTTAAATACACAGTTTAAACAAACCCAGTGTACAAGCTTAATGTTTAAACAAGCTGAAGAAGAGAGGAAGAATTTTAGAAATGCTACTGTTACTACACTCTCAATTTCACTTGCATCCTTAGACAGCCTGGTAGCAGTGACATGGTCCTGTGTTCTATCCCTTAATTTATCAACACTTGCCTTAAAGCAGTAAGAGATTGTATGAACGATGGTCAGTAGAGCTTTAAGTGTTTAAGAAGTTAGTGTGCACCAAGTTTTTCAATTTACGATACCCTACTCGCTACAGGCTGTCTCCCTGCACACCTAGGTTAATTGGAATAGCTTCTGCACTGTAAGCTGACACATTAATCAAGAAGCTTTTCTATATGGACCTGCCATGAAGCTCTTGACAGAACCTCAAAACATGATCAGCCACAGCATGTGAAATGACAAAAGGGGCTTCATAAAGAAATGCCATCTTAAATCACCTGTTCTCACTTCATGCTTCCTTTTCCCAAGGAATAGCTACCATAAAAATCCTTGAAAGTCTGTAGAAATTAATCAAACATAAGACCTGCAGCCTGTGAATGGAATTTTCTGGAGGAAAAAAAAAGGGGAGGAGATAGTAGGTTGCTTAACTGGCCTTTACATTTTTGTCTATGTACTACTTTCAATTTTTCTCTAAACTGACAAATGTCCTGAGTTACACCGTTCACCATGAGGTAAGTGATGTTTATTAAAGCTTTTAACCCAAAGAGTGTTCTTGAGATTTCATAACAAAATCATAGTTCCTCGAGGCTGTAAAACGTCTGACCTTGCTTCAGTTCAAGTCAATAGCAAAAATCCTATTTATTTGGTGTGCTTTAATTATTAGATCAAATAAACATTTAAAAAAAAAGTCTTGATAAGCACTTATGAATTTATTAAACATTTTCACAAGCTGATGTGTAGTTTATTTCCATGTGTTCTGTATCTGAGTTACTTCTGTAGCTTCCTCAAAAAAGCTTGTTGTGCAATGTGTATTATTTAAAACTTTAACAGTAGTTTTGCAATATTTAAGAGATGCATTTAGTCATGTCTGTACACTTGCTGAAAAAAGGAAGACAGAATTCTAAATTTAGGTTCTTACTTTTCACTAATTTGTGAAAATGTAATGCATGTACAGGATTTAAGCACAGCTAGTTTGAACTGCTGTTCTTATTTAACCAAAGAATGTTTCGTTTCTGATGAATTTTTCATCACTGTGGTGGATGAAATACAACCTGTCTCTTTTCTGGATGTGTATTGCAATTTGCAATGTATTTTGATTTCTAAAGATACTGAATGTTGTTAACAAAATGCCTATGGAGAAGAAATGCAAATAAAACAAATTTAAAAGTGGAAACTGCAGTTAAGATATTCTTGAGTCTGCAGTACAGCATTCACCAGAGTAACTGACCTTTTTCCAACAGCCATAATAATAATTTCACTGTGATTTCAACATCTGCTTTTTTTTTTCCTTTTTCCCCTGAACAAAGCTGATTTATCTCAAAATATTTCTGTTTTGAGACTGCAATCTGCCTTGGTACACCCTCACTTTTCTCTGGGGAGAACAGTCTAGCCAA